GGGCAGGAAATATGGCTCAATGGCAAAGTGGTGTGTTTTTGCCAGTTTCCCTCTGTTTGTTAGATAGAGATGGAAAAAGAGAGGGGGGGGGCATCCTGAGACGCTTCAGGCTGCTAAGGCTTTAATTTAATGGCAGATATTTGCATATTATATGTACACAAAGTGGCCAAATATCTTCTCATCCAAACATTGCAATTAACCTTGCTTCCAGCAGATACCGATCTTTGCTTTAAAAGGCAGTAACCCAAATAATCCTGCTCAAAATCCACCGTATAACCAGAAGCAGCAGTTTAGTTTGTCCTGCATCCCCCTCCAGGAGATCACAGAACGGTCAGCGTGGCCTCGATGTGAGTGAGAGAGCTTTAAAGATAAAAGTGTATCAAATAATTGTATTACTTCAGAGAGCATGATGTTCCCCAACTTTTACTCATCTATTATTTAAGAGTATCCAATAATGATAGGCTGAGTAATAAAAAAGGTAACTAACTTTAAAATTTTAATTTTAATTATACAGAACTTAAAAGCAATTTGAGGGAAAAAAGAAGGGAACAGTGGGTTTCAAAATGTTTATATTATTAATACAATCTGAATATATATAAATATATATATTAATACATAACTGGCAAAAAAAAGTATTACTATGCTCACATAACTTCCAGAACACAGTGCTTTTCTCTCTGTTGTATGGATGTATCCTCAGATGGCGGCACAGTTTACTATTGTGTGTATTATATTGGAGTTCTTTAATTTATAAAATAAAGAATGACCCTGATGAAGACCATGTCGGTAACTTATTAACGTTTTATCTTGGATTTAAAAAATCTCCGTGGCGATTTGTAGTACGGCAGCTGTTACAAGTTTAATTTGTCATGATTGTTGTTAATGAGAGGGAGGAGATTGCCCCCCCGCCCCCGCCCTCACCTCTATAAATCACCTCCTGCTTAGATCTCTTGACTGGTACATTCTTAACCTTTGACCTCCGTCGGACTAAAAGGTCGTCGTCACTGTGGTAACTAAAACGGCCGACTCGCTCTGTCTTAATTAAAAAGCATTATTTACTCGGAGAAAATTTCATCTTCTCTACCTCTGACCTCTCTCTTCCTCTTCCTTTCTCCTCCTCGTCCTCCGCCCTCTGTGTCGGTTAACTGTCGACACGCTGGGAAAGCCCACATCTCCTGAAAGACTACGCTCTTGTGACTATAGTGCCGAGCCTGTCGTCTCGGCCGAGGCGGTACATGTTAGTGTGTGTGTGTGTGTGTGTGTGTGTGTGTGTGTGTGTGTGTGTGTGTGTGTGTGTGTGTGTGTGTGTGTGTGTGTGTCTGAGTGTGTGTGTGTGTGTGTGTGTGTGTGTGTGTGTGTGTGTGTGTGTGTGTGTGTGTGTGTGTGTGTGTGTGTGTGTGTGTGTGTGTGTGTGTGTGTGTGTGTCTGAGTGTGTGTTTGCAGCAGGGTTAAGCTCTAACAGAAGACAAAGCCACAACCTTTGAGGCTGCTAAGCAACAATGCTGACTGGTAAAGCCTCATCAGGGCACCGTTTAGCAAAGGATTAGGGACTATTACACACACATAAACACACACACCCAAAAACATAGCCTAATCAACTAATTAATTCAAACCGCAGACCACTTTAACTTTTGGTGTGTGTGAAACCTACAGTTCACTCTTCCAAATCAACTCATCCATATAAACTATTTTTCTCAGTGAAAAACTACAACTAACTTTCCTTCGATTTATTTTAATCAGGTCGACGGCCGTCACAAATCTCTTAATCTTTTCACCTTTCTCTCACTTTGTCATAACTAACACATGTTAACAAAAAAAATACCTACATTTTTGCAGGTCACCCTTGAAAAAGAGATCTTTTGATCTCAAGGGGCTTTCACCTGGTTAAATAAAGGCTACAAACAAACAAACATTTTTAAGCAAAACGCACTTGACACAAAACACTAAAACACAGAGGGTGATAAAGTAATCTGAAAACTGTTTCTGAGGAATGTATGCCAGAAAAGGCAAGGCAGCAAGAAAACACATACACACAATCACTGTCCCATCAATATATCCTCATCCTCCTGTATAACCAGACTTTTCATATGTAGAAGCTGTGACCCATTCTCTCATCCTCCCATCACCCCATCAACCCCTCTTTCATCTCACTACTGATTTCTGTCCAGCAAAAAGGGAATAGAGCGGGCAGAGAAGAGGCAGAAGAGAGGAGAGGAAATGTCACATGAATATATGTGTTCATTGCATGGGGTCAGCATTGTGACATCTGCGTAGTAATGGAAGACAATCATATTGAACAAAATAATTTCCTCTGAAAGAAGCATCATGATAAAAGTGCAAGAATTATACTGATGATCTGGAATCAAGATTGTATTACATATATGTTTTTACCATTCCTTGTATGTTAACATTTTATTTGTTAATTTGTGTTTGCATACATGTTTGTTGTTCTATGTTTATCTTTGGTAGATGTTGTATTATACAGCTTTGGATTCATGATCACTAATGGCAATGAGGAAAGGAAGGAACAGACGAAGAAAATACACTAAACATAAGAACCCACATTAAAGGAGGATTTACTGCTGGCAACTAAATGCAGGTTTATTGTGTTGGTTGGTTGGTGGTAATTTGACGCTTAATCCCCTGTACTCCTGCATCTTAACATTGAGGATCAAAGTGGAAGCACATCTTGAGAACTTTCTCAGTTCACTCCCCTTGTCACTCATTCACTACTCCCTACTCAAAAGACATTCAATTGTTAACTTGAATGAGTCATTCTTGAGTTGTGTCACTAGTGACGGGCCTGGAGTCCCACAACATTTATAAAATGCAATGCAATTCATTGTGGAAGTTAGAAGAAAGTATTTTACACACGTATGTGGACACCACTTTTATCACAGGAACATTTGAGACAAAAACATTGAATTAATGAGTTACTGTATCATTCACATTTAATTTAGTTAACTGTAACATCATGGTCTCATTCTTATAATGTAAGTGACCTTAACTACCCTGAAAAAAAGTGATCTTGATTGACATTGCAAAAATAAACAATGACTATTGGTGCAAGACTCGTCATCACGACTTCAATGACCAATAAGAAGATTTTTACCTCATCTACTCATATACATAGTAATTGTCTAGATCAACACCTAATACAGTTTATAAGCATGTCACACTAAATGGTTTTAGACACATGTTGGATGTCAACATAATTCAGGCAGAAATAATGTTTCCTCTAACACCTGACCTCAGTTTCATTTAGCCCTCAAAGCTCTTAACCATGGCGCTGAGCAAACACATCCAGGAAGTACTCACACACACATCATTTCCAAGCTCGAAAAAAAGTGAAAACACAATTTTCATAATAGCAGGTTGAGCAAGTGTTCATTTATAGCAGTGCTGTTGTAAGAACCAAAGTCGGTCCAGTCTGCATACCTTCTGACCTCTAAATAAAACTTAACAAGATTCCACTTCAGAGGTTCTCAAGGCTTTCTTGTTGTGTTTTCTAAAAATAAAAGTACACTGTTGGGGGTGTAGAAGTAGAGATGTAATATTGTCCAAACAGCCCTAAATGCTATTGGCTAAGCCTCCGTGGTTGATGTTCATTATGAATGACTTCCATATGTCTGAGAAAACTGCTTCTATAGCTTTGTGGCGGCAAAAGCGCCAGCTAGGTTATTTGTATTTTTTCATTGGGCAACTTTCTGTTGATTTTTCGGAAAATGCTTTATTTCTCTAATTCTAATTTGAGATCTTCTACTGAGGAAAAAAACACAATCAAAAGACAACATTATGAGTGCTGTGAGACCGAATGAAGTGTGTGGTCAGTGAATATATTAAACCAACCAGGGATCCTCTGCTACACATATACCTGGAGAACTGAGGCTTATACACAACATACACGCAAACAAGCAAAGTGCACACGCAAGTCTAAACTAACAAATGCACACACACACACACAACGCGCACAGAGAGGCCGCTTGTCTGCAACAGCTGAGCAGAGAGCAGTATATCCGAGTTGTATTTTTACCTCGGCCCACACGCTGAGCAATATGCCAACTCTTGGCCTTGAAAAACACACACACACACACTCTTGCAGAAACACAGACGCACATGCAGACACACACCCATAGACGACAGGTCAAGCCCAGCAAACCACTGCAGCAGCCGCAGAACATAAACAACTTCCACACACTCTCTGAATCATCTGAGCATTTCAATATTGTTTAAGATAAATATATGCAGCCACACATATAAATATATTCAACCATAATTATTCCCTGGGACCACAAACAACCATGACGGGAAGGTAGTTCCCACAGTTTCAGCAGCATTGCTGCCCAGCCCTACAGTTCTGGAAATCCACAGATCAGTTTACAGCACAGACGCTCTGAAGAGTGGACGGTGCCTGACGACAACACACTGCAGTTTAAGGGTTTTGAATGCAAACTGACACATTTATGTTCTGTAACTGAGACTATTTTTTGTCTGTGAAACATACACATGTAACTTTAGAAGAGCACACACACACACACACACACACACACACACACACACACACACACACACACACACACACACACACACACACACACACCACACACACACACACACACCACACACAACACACACACACACACACACACACACACACACACACACACACACACCTCCCAGTGGGCAGCAGCTGTTGGAGTGCTAATCTCCATTAGCTACTGAACTGGCTTCTATGAAGAGGGCCATTTAAAATCTGTTCCCTCACTCCTTCATCGAAGTGAAAAACCACGGCTACGTCACCAAGACAACCAGATTTTTTTCAAATCGCAGTCAATGTTCTGTACAAGCTTGTGGTAATACACAAAAACACACACAATTTCAATAATTCATCCGAGTGATCTCAGGCCTTCTTTGGAAGTGAACAATACTTCAGATAACAATGCAGAGAAATCGAGTGATGGATAGAGAAAGAGAAAGAGAAGGAAAAAAACAGGACTTACAGTCTGTAAAGTTTTGTCGTTCCCAGGAAAAGCAGCTCGGGGAACACGGCCAGGTTATTCCGATTCAGGCGCCTGAAAAAAGTATAGAGTATCAATTAGGAAATAACTCAACATAGGCTTCCATAGAGTGGTTACATGTGTGTATAATTAGCTTTTTAAGGTGATATTTGTGTTTCCTGTTCATCATATCACATTGTGTGTTGTTGTGTTTTGCTTACAACTCAGTGTTACAGGAAGCATGAACATAAGAAGATTGATGGAGGCATTAAAAGGACACACATGTTCACGGGCAGAAAAGCAGACTCCCAGTCGCCCCTGATTTAAGGGGTACAACATGGCTGCCAGACAAACAGTGAACTCGAGAAGGACGAAGGGAAGGCAGGGGGAGGAAGACGGGAGAAGAGGTTCAAATGTAATGGGGGTGTGGGGGGACCTTTTTTTTACCACAAAGGCGGAGAAGAGGAGATGATGTGGGAAAAACAAACAGGCAGTCTGGCCGGGCTACCGAATGTGTGAAAAGGACCCCACTGAGTAAACAAGGCCCTCACAGGGGAAGAACTCACAACAACCCGTCATCACACACATTCTCACAAACACACACACACACACACACACACACACACACACACACACACACACACACACACACACACACACACACACACACACACACACACACAGGAGTTGAGAGAACTCGGGTGAGTTTAATAATCTGGGTGCGATCATTTAACCCTGGTCGAGTGGAGTGAAGAGGTTTGTATGCCGGTGTGTGTTGCTGTGTGTGTGGTTGTGCCTTGATGTGAGTCAGAGGAGAGTGAAGCAACTGAGTGACACAATGAAAGACAGGCTGCTGAAACAGTTTAACCCCGACACACACTCTCTCTCACACACATATACACACACACACATTGACAGCCCGGGGAAGGATGCTGCGCCGGCTGTTACTGGAGGAGAATTAAGAGAGGGAGTAAGGAAATGAGAGATGGAGGAAGAATGAAGAAAGCTTGTTTCAATAAATGAAAAATAGTGTTAAAGGCCCTGACTGAGTTTCTCACAAATGTCCATGAACACAAGCAAACAATGCACATGTGAATGCTCCAGAACACTTGGTTAGGTTTAGAAAAATAATAGTTTGTGTTAAAATAAGTAAGTTATGTAACGTAAAAGTTAGTAAATATAAGTCAACCATTTCTAGTTTTACACAGGACAGGAACAGGTGGTCTCCTGAGTAATAGTCCTGTATATTTAAACCATCCAACTTTGTCATCTCACTTCCACTGAGGCAGTTATGCCCGTCCTGGCTAAGGTTAAAGTGCATTATATACGAATTAAAGTGAATTTCTTTCCGTATGTATAGGTAGAAACAGCTGAAGAAAACAGCCTTAACAAAACACTTCAAAAATGTCAACAGTTGTATTCAGACCACCAAAAACCTCTCTTCAAGTGTCACAATGGCCTTCTTATTTTACCTCTTTGTGCTTCACTATAAGCTGCTGTGGACTCTCCTTAAATAACGTCACCCCCCAGTGTGTCCATCATCAACCCAGGAGTGCTCAAATATATGAACGTGCCTGCGTTCATGCACACACATTCACACTTCACAGTTACATCAGAGGGCGCTTTAATATTTAACATCCCACAGAATGATGTTTCTAAATTATTCACTTCTCTTCCGTTAAGGCTGGCTGTGGCGGCTAAGAGCCCCACGTGGTCCCATGGAGAGGCCCACTCCTCCTGCAGGTCCTGCCCGACCATGAGCACCCGTTAGTGGGCTAGACCTCCCCTGGGTGAGTGCACAGATTGGTGCTGGAGGTGCGGCGAAGGAGTATGAGCTCATTCTCTTAAAATAGATACAATGCTGTCAGACTAGGAGACTACGAGAATGAAGTGAAGACAGTGTTTTATCCAAACCAGTGTCGTTACTCAAAAGTATCAGGTGCATTTAATTATTTGCTCATACATTTCAGATAACTTTACCAATCAAGTTTACACTTTTAACCATCATATATTGCTCAATTTAGGGTCAGAAAACCCTTTTTTTATTTAGTTCAAGCATCACAAAGGACGCCGACAAAACCTGTTATTTTATCTTTCCAAAGGGACAGCATTCATGATATGAAACCAACCTCTACATATTCAACCCAGTCTCACTGCATTTCGTGTAATAGTCACGAAATACATTTAATCTATTGATTCGTGTTCACCAACACGATTTTTGCATTTTTTTCGTGTCACACAGAATGATTTTACAAGCAATGTATTTCTATTGGTAGTATGTTTCGTGCCTGCACCACGTCTTTTTGTCCGGTCGGGTCTTGGAAGACAGGAAGCTGTGTGGTTCATAAAAACATGTTCTTACTCAATATCAAGCCACAATTATTGTTTTTATTTTTAAATTGTATAATGTCGGACTTTTTTTGCCGTCCGCGAGGAAAAGAAATGGGGCTCAGAGCCTCAGAATACTTAAATCTGTATTTTTTGTAATCTTTTTTTCCTTCTAATTTTTTATTATTTGGTGCAGGCACGAAACATACTACCAATAGAAATACATTGCTTCTAAAATCGTTCTGTGTCAGAATACTGACATCTGTATTTTCTTTAATCTGTTTTTCCTTCTAATTTGTTATTATTTACATTGCTTTTAAAATCGTTCTCTGTGACACGAAAAATATGGGGAAATCGTGTTGGTGAACACGAATCAATAGATTCATTTTGTGACTATAACACGAAATGCCGTGAGACTGGGTTGACATATTATACACCTCAAAATGTTAGTCCAATGAAGTCACTCAGCCACTACACTTATTTAACCTATTCTAATAACCTGTTCTTAATTTTCTGTGCATCTATTCATCGTTTCAACCCCAACTACCATAAACCCTTGCATCTTTGTTATAAGAGACAAAGAAAACGTTGCAGTATAGTTCCTACAGCTTAAGATTTAGTGTTTAGGAGTTGTTCATTTTTGCCCAGAACACCTCTACTGTCCCTCTATACAAGTACTAACAGACTCTGACAAAAATAATCTAGTGGTCAGTAGTGATTTAGTGGCTTGTTTCTTGACCTGAAGGAATGTATTATAGTGTGTGTGAAGTGTGTGTGAGTGTGCACATAAACACCCTCAGAGTACTTCCACAGTCGTGATTCATTAGTCAAAGTCTGGCTGAAAGTGAATGAAGACCGAGTCGCCAGTACATTGAGGTGTGAGAGTCACTCCAACAAGCTAATGTCACACTGCAGCGTGGTGATAATCCCTGCAATCATAAACATATGCTAGAGAGCAACAAACCACACAGTAAACACACACACAGACACAAAGACACACACACACACACACACACACACACACACACACACAAGTTTATATGTGTAGCATTACAGGTTTGCAGGCTGTGGCCAGGAAGGAAACAACAAACCCACTCAAAAAAACAATTATTACTCCACCAATGCCACTGCTGCCATAATTCACATTTTATGTCAAAACTTGCGTGAGTGTTTGTGTATGTGTGTATATCCACTCCAGCAGTTTGTGTATTTTAGTCAGGAGAGACTGAGTGAATTAATATTTTATTTTATATGTGCACAAAAGTATGAGAGATGTGAATCGTCTTTGTTAATTAGACCCCATCGTGATGCCATATGCACTTTACAGGTTAATGCGCTGGCATACAAGCTTTAACATCATGGCTATGAAGGCTTAGATAAGATACCATCCTGCCCAATTTCACAGTAACGCAGGATTCCAGAATGCAGAAATGATTCTCATTAAGCGTATTGAAAAGCTGGTATTTACAACAATAGTTGGCAGTAGCACAGACAGCCAGTGACTCAGCAATATCTACAAATTACTTTTATTAGATAGAACCATTGTAGTGAAAATGGCTTTTGTGTGCAGAACCTTTCAAGCCCTGCAGCTCAATAAATTAAAAAAAGGCATTGCGAAACTTTGCCCTGAAGGATCAGAGAAGCAATGTCTTCACTCGCAGGATTCAGCAAACGCTAATCTAAGACTTTTCTTTTAAATCCATATTCTGCTAGTCTCAATGATGTAATTATCTTTTGATAGTCACATTTTCCACAAATTACACCACACTTAGTGTGAGGTTTATTTATCTAGTGTGTACATCACTGTTGATATGTATGTCTCACTACCTGTAATCTGTTTTACAATTATTCTTCACTGTTGAAATTACCTTTGATAATGTGATCACTCAACTACAGGTTAATTATCTGAGGCTTTATCTCACCGTTGTTCTCTCAATACCTGTAATTACTATTTCCTTTCTCTCTGCATATCTCTTGCTGCTATCATCTTTAATCTCACACACTTTGAATTGGATAGCGGCTATAAACCAGTCAGATGTGAGAGGAGGATAAGAGGATCAGAAACGCCTCTCTTTCCTATTCTTCATTATCTACAGGGAGAGAGTGAAGAATGTATGACATTCCTGTAAGCACAGGACAATAGAGAGAGAGAGATGGGTGGGTTTGGAAGAAAAACATGAGGAGAGGTTAAAGATGGAATCAATGCGCAAGTGGGGGGCAAAATCAAGATAAAACCAGTACTGACGGAGCAGCCTTGCGTAAGTTAATGCGCGTGCATGAGTCTATCCATACCAATGCATGTTTTTGTGTATGTGCATGTGTGTGTTGTGACATGCCTATCTCCTCCACACCTCCTTCGACCACCGGCCCCTCCTCCATACCCCCCAGCTACTGCCCCACACCTGACCCCACCCTGCCCAGCCCTGCAGGGCCTGTCGCAAAAAAAGAGGATGAGAAGGGAAACCGTTTTCCACCCCGGTGGGGGGCAGTCACTGTGGATCCGTCAGCCCAGCTTAGGGCCCTCTACTCTGGGCAGCGGTGCCCAGCAGGCCCCTATCCAACCCCCAGAGGACAGAGGCCTTTGAAATGAGCCCCAAGACTCCAGACTCCGGAGACGTGCCATTGTCCAGCGGCTGCGGGGGGGCATTGATGACTGACTCCACCTTTGTGTTTGTGAACATGCCACGCCAGAGACGCTGAATTACAGTTGAAAACCCTCGTAAGAACAACAGAAAACAGCCATGTTGTGTCAGAAAGTTAGCTGCTGTCAAAGTGTTTGTTGCCCTCTGATGAAAGACAAAGACAGCATGTATAGTTTGATAGTTGATGTGTAATTCTTTATCTGATGTGGATGTTTACAGACTGATCTACATTGTATGTGTAAGTGTGTGTTGAAGCCTGATTTGCTAATATGTATGCATGAGAGACTTTTTTAACCAGCATGTACCATCTCTTAGCACATAAGGTAATCACTATCAAAGTTAACAGTCCATTTCACAGTTGAATATTGGCCTTGTCTAAAGCTCTGGGCAGAAATTCCCAGATCTGCTTAGCTGGACAGATCCCAGCATCGGTTGCATGAGAATCACGATCAGATTCCTATATATTCACTGTGTCAACAAAGAGTGGCCACAGTGCAGCAGAGAGCAGAGAAAAAACCAGGCACGACACGCCCAAGACGAGAGCAGCGGGAATTCATGATACTTCATCCTTCTCAATCCGACCACTCCTGAAGAATTTACCCAAAACAGCCATCAGGAAGATTAACTACCTTCAATTGATTTAGTGCTGTTTGTATGCCTGTGTATGTGTACAGGTGGATATGTCTGTGTTTACACAGGTATGTCTGTGTTTTTGTAAACATGTGTGTAAGCAGAAAGGATTTTTACGTGTCTTTAATTAAAAGCTTGTCTCTAAGCCTCCTCAGAGCGTCACAGTCTGCTGCATTCCTGTGTGTCATTGGCTGGCAGTCAGGCCACAAACACAGCCATATGCAGACAGCTCACACATCAAGTAAAGTTGACAGTCCACACAATAGACATATCAGCAGCCAGAGGTCTGCATCCCCCTTCTGTCCTCTTCTCCCACACACTACCAGGACTTAATTATGCCATAACTGCCTCGGGGTTAGATGCTGAATACCAGTGATTCCCGGCCAACGTCATAACAACCTTTGGCTGTTCACTCTCACCGTGCTGAGACTCAATTCAAATATTCCCTCTTGAGAAAACTGATGGCAGCAGTGAAACATTTACAAAGACATACAGATATGGGGGGTGGGGGCACTCAATACTTTGAAAAATATCTGAATCTGTTGTCTCAAAAATGTAGGACCAAAATTCACAAAATGTGCCTTCTGCTACGATCCACAACTACAAATCAACCAGCCTAAAAAAAACAGGAAATGAGGCGGAAAAGACAGACTGACATTTTAGGTTTTTTAAGGGTCTATTTTAACAAGAAAAAGTTCCAGTGATATTGCTCAAGTTTTTTTAATGTTTCTACAGTGCCACAATACACTAGGAAATTAGCACAATCGTCCTTCAAAATGGACCACAGAGAATTTTATAAAAACCAATCTCACACGTATGCAATGCCACAATAATCAAAAAGAAAATGAGGGGACAACGGAACAATAACGTTCTTCCCTACAAAAGCTCTGCATACTTGTTATCCTTTCATTTGTCACCTTTCTGTACATGTGCATATCCAAATATATGAAAAATAAACGTGTATGCTTCAGGAAAAAGCATTATGATAAAGGATTATTTCTAACAACAATGTGTGAAAATAAATAGTCTCTGCTTTAATTCAGAATTGTAACTCACAGTCTCTCCAGCTCCTTCAGGTCCTGGAACGCTCCTCTCTCTATTGTGGTGATTTTGTTCTCCATTAGCTGCCTGAAAGAGAAACACCAGCGGAAAGTGAGACAATAAGCACTGGACAGCAAAAAAAAGAGATTAATAGAGAGACACATGAGAGCTGACAGGGTGATCTGATGACACCTTGAGAGTCCAAAGAAAAGACGAAAGATGGCTGGATGGGGCCGCAGATAAGAGAGAGTAAAGAGGAAGAGAAGGTGAAGGAGAGTGAGATAGGACACGAGAGAGGAGAAGAGATTGACATGGGAGAGAGGGAGAGATGAAGAAGATAGGTGGCAGTGGGTGTGAATTAAAAAAAGAAAAACTGATTGTGGAGATGGTAAGTGATAGAACGTTGAAGCAGCAGGAGAAAGAGAGAGAGAGAGAAGACAATCAGCGGCGGATCGATGGAGCCACAGAATTGACTTTAAAACTGGCCCATCAGTTGGACAGCAACTCATCTATCATCCAATTTACCCTCTGTCTAACTACACAGCTGTGAGTGTGACTACTCATTCACTTACACTAGCACAACTCCCCAAGGAGCACTGTGCTGACCAAGCCAAGCTGTCACACTCACACTCACACATCACACACACACACACACACACACACACACACACACACACACACACACACACACACACACACACACACACACACACACACACACACACACACATATTTGTATAGGCTGTATTGTGCACACTCATGATAAATAGGAACACACAAGCAGATATAACTGGTTTTGGACAAATGCATGTTAACTCACAAACAAACCAAAGATATTTCATTGCCTATAATGTCAAACAAATAAGTACATCCTCACATTGGAGAAGTTGCAGCCAGGATAGTTTGCATTTTAGCTTTATGACTAAAACTAAAGAGTGTAAGCCAATGAATTGGTTTTCCATTGACTAAATCTTGCCGCTCTAATTAATTATTTAGATTTTGTCTGACACAGGTACGCATTATGAACACAGAAAACAGCTAACATTGAGGCTGGAGAACACGCACGCACGATTAGGGACATCATCTCAGAAGGAATTCCAACCATGTATTCTCCCATTCACTTTTAGCAGCTGGAAAGCACACACACACACACACACACACACACACACACACACACACACACACACACACAACCACACACACACACACACACACACACACACACACACCACACACACACACACACACACACACACACACACACACACACACACACACACACACACACAATAAAAGCAGGCTATCCATGTCCTACTCTTAAACTGGATTCATCCCAGGTAAGAAACCTGTTCTTACTTGACTCTCTCCTTTCCTTTCCTTGCACCCTCCCTCCCTTGCAGCTGCATTCCTCCCTCCGCGGTTACACCTAATGACCGCTATCTCTTTCCCTCTTTGCCCGGTAGTTAAAATAAGCCCCTCCTGACACTTCCACTGGCAGATTAACACGACAGCATTAACAGGTGCCAATGCTATTCTGTTTGAAAACACATACTGACTCAATGAAAGCGCCGCTTGTAGACGCAGTGCTGCATGCGGCAGGCTGCTGTGATGCTGAACAGGACTGGAAACAGTTAAATCTGTGTGTTGTGGTATTTAGGGGGGAAAGTTGTTGGAATTGTAAGGTGCTGCTTGTCAGAGCTGTGCGTGAGAGTATTATATTTTATTTTGCATCTGCAAAAGCTGAGAGATAAGAAAGAAGGAAATACAATTCATAAAAACCACTTACAACACTCGCAGATGCCTCAGTCCTGCAAAATCCGCCTTGGTGATTTTAGTGAGGTTGTTTGCATTCAGATCCCTGGAGAGAGAAATTGGGAAAAAACAGACTGTCAGTAGGCTACATGAGATATGACATTTTAATCAAACAAAGAAAAAGCAGGTCCACTGGAGGGTTTTTGTTGAAACTTGGTGTGCTGTGGCCGATGCAGAATTTCATTTGAGCATCAGAGAAATTGAAAAGAGCTGCTGCGCTATACTAGGCAATTTTTAATTTTATCAAGGGGGCTCTCACTAATAAAATACGGCTTGTTTAACTCAAAGCCCACTTGTCCAAATCCGTTTTTGATTAACTTGCTGGTCTCCAGACAAACCGATGTGGTCTACGGAGGCTGTGCTAATGCAACAGTGCGAAACCACCAACACAACCACAGCAGTGCCCCTAACTTCAGCTCCGCGATCAGCAAGAGCGAATCCCCACATTACACACATGCAGGAAGAACCAAAAGGTGTTTCTACAATTTAAAAACACAAGGTACATTTAGCAGCATTTACAGGTCCTGAGTTTTAACGTGTTAGTTCACGTGTCACTGCGCTAAAATGGTCCCCAAGGAAACAATCCTCCTAATACTATCAGCATGCAGTTTAAAAGGACCGAAAACACTAATGTAACCAGATTATTAAAAAAATAGGAACATTATATGATCATAAAAATATTTGTGGAAATATAATGAAGGGTGGGCTATCAAATAGCCTACCAAAAAGTGACATAAGATTGCTGTAAACTCTTAAGATCTTTTCAGGAGAAGCATATATAAAATATATATATTTCTTAAATGCATTAAGGTAACCAATTTTTTTTTTTACATAATTGACGCACGAATAAATTGAGATTCTAGTGTTTTTCTCGTGTGAAGTGTTTTGTCTGGGAAACTGCGCTTTTTCCCCCCTCGGTAGGCTACTCACAGTCTCTCGGTGTTGCGGGGGATATTCCTGGGCACGCTGCGGAGCCCTTGGCCGTGACAGTCTACGGTAGTCCCGGTGCAGGAGCACTGCGCCGGGCAGGGCTGTCCGTCCGCTCCGCCGGACAGGACCGAGAGCAGGACGGCCAGCAGCCCCAGCGCAGTCACCGGGGAGCGGCCGTGGCCAGCGGGGCCAGCGGGGCTCAGAGTTCCCACCATCATTGCGGCAAGTGGGGGCCAATATGAGACCCACAAAATAACGAGAAAATACAAGGGCGTTCAAAAATAAAAGCCCTGAAATCCCCGAAACAGCTCACCAAACTCTGCACGCAACGGGATGCAGTCCTCCTTTTCGTTGTCCTCCCCTCAGACCTGGGATTCTCAAATGTATCGCTCTAAAATTCACATTTGGGTCTTCTTAGAGGGGTTTTTATGTATGAAAGCTGTGAATTAGGAATTTGCCCCCCCCCTTGAAAGGGAGACGAGAGGTTGACGAGGCGGTGGACCGGCTCTCTGGCTGCGCTACAGCGGCGCAAACTTCCACATGTCCCCGGCATGCGGTGCCCAAAATCCCCCCGATGTGTGTTGTGTCTGTAAGCGTATGAGCGTGTGCTGAACCAAGCCAATAAAACACCTCACTGCTTGATCTGATCCAGAGAAACAAACTCTCAGACACACTTTACTGCATACAAACACACGCACTCCAGGTGAGGCTGTCTTAGTTATGAATTCATAACACGCGTCCAGAAAGGAGACCGCGCTCGGTTCTTCCAAAAAGCTCAGCAGAGGTCACCGAGGAGGAAAGATATTGATCCAGATAATATATCAATGGCAAGTCAGTGGCAAGGGTGTAGGCAGTGTTAGGGAGGGAAAAAAGCCCCGTCAAAGACCAGCGCGCAATAGTATAATCCAACTTTGCGTGGTGCGTCAAAGCGCTGCTCCCGGGAGTGTGTGAGAGAGAGAGAGAGAGAGATGAGAGAGAGAGAGAGAGAGAGAGAGAGAGAGAGAGACGAGAGATGAGAGAGAGAGAGAGAGAGAGAGATAGAGAGAGAGAGAGAGAGAGAGAGAGAGAGAGAGAGAGAGAGAGAGAGAGAGAGAGAGAGAGAGAGAGTTGCCTGGACAGACGCAGTAGCAGACGTGCCCGCTCTCGTCTCTCCATTCTCTCTCTCACTCACACACTGCGTTTTCCCTCAAAGCAGCAGGTTTCCAACTGGCCGTCAGTCAAAAAGCAACAGTGTGACCTCGGTAGGGGACTTCTCGCTGCAGTGTCCCGGTCACCTGATGCTTTATTTATCCGGCCTCAGGAAGGCGACAGAGCTTCTTGGTGAAATCTAAAGTGGACAAATATAGCCAAAACCCATCTGATTATTGTTAAATGTCCACACAGCTGAAACTAAGGATCCAGTGCTGTATCTAAGACACATTTTTCTTGCTCTGTTGGCTTCAGTGTCCAGTTGAAAGACACATTAAAATGACACCTGTCCCATGGTGGTTTCACACTTGTTGTTCCAGTATTCATATCCAAAGTAACTGCACTGCATTATATTCAAACTCTAATAATAGTTTTAATTATCAAAAGCAGTTGCTCTAAGCCTTAAGAATTAGGAGTTTATTTAAGTTAACATTAAACAAATTGGAGAGACATACTTACACCAACCAAATCAAACTTTAAGAAACAGTTTTTTCATCCTTGTTAGGTAAAAGGTTAGTTAATGTTATGAAATGCTATACAAACAAAGAAGCAGCTTCTGGACAAGTGCACATGTAATCTTGATTTACATTTGCAAAAGTAGAGTTTTTGCTGAAGTTTAATAATCTGAATACGCTCAGCAATTACTCATGTGGAATCCATATATTGAGAATTACTGTTTTCTCAAAGAGCTTTAGTTATGATTTACTATGTGCCTATGTTCCTATTATTGACAATATAAATGCCATCACTTCTTCAATAATGTGTGTTTCATTAACACAATTATAAAGATTGGCTTCTCAGCACTACAGTCGCTGTGGCAGTAAATAACGGATGTCACGCAAAATAAACAAATAACAATGTCTGCACATATTTTACAATTTGAACATTGACATAACAAAATGATGTATCGCTTCGGAATATATCCCCAAAGATAAAAAATGTTATCAGTAGTAGTTTTGTAATCAAATCTCTATAGTCTGCTTGAGGTCTCTCAGGTCTGAAGCTTTTGGAGTTCAGTTGGTGGCCTATTTTGATTCTTCATCAGTGACATATCATATCAAAAGAGAACAGATGTGCAGGGAATTCTGTCTTCCTCTCTCTCTGTCTGTCTCTCTTGATCCGTCTCCGGTTTATAAGACAGAATAAGCAGCTGTGGGTGATTGTAATGCTGATGTGTGCTCACTGTGTGTGTGTTTTATACTGCTCCCCCTTATCCCTCATCCCAGCATTCAAACAAACACCCACACAATCACACACTCAGTCTACAGTCTACTCAGACAGTGGTTTTGGGGGTGAGGGGGATAAGAAACAGGAAAGATTTGTAATATTGCAGAAAAAAGGGGAGGAGGCAGAGGCATGACAGCAGACAGGAGGGTAGAGGCCGGCCATTGATGGAGGCGTATCATGGCTGAAGGGAGGGGAGAGAGGAAGCGTGACCCCTATCTCCTGCAACACAACGCAGCTCTAGGGCACACAGCCTGTTCAGACACAGCCTGACCTGACCTGCCCTCCTCTCACACACACATCAGATTACACCTACCGCCGAGGTCAAGCTACAAGATTGTTTAAATTGAGCTGGGGGCAAAGTAGAGGAAGTAACTGCTTTTCCACTGATGTTGATTACAATTAGTCCAGTATATCTCAATATTTGATTGTTTATCAAATTAACAGGTAGGCAAGGCAAGGCAAGGCAAGGCAAGGCAAGGCAAGGCAAGGCAAGGCAAGGCAAGGCAAGGCAAGGCAAGGCAAGGCAAGGCAAGGCAAGGCAAGGCAAGGCAAGGCAAGGCAAGGCAAGGCAAGGCAAGGCAAGGCAAGGCAAGGCAAGGCAAGGCAAGGCAAGGCAAGGCAAGTTTATTTATATAGCACTTTTCAACACAAGGCAATTCAAAGTGCTTTACAAAAAATGAAAGAGATTAAGAAAATGGCATTTAAAATCAGTCATTAAAAAGAAAAGCTAATAAAATAAACATTAAAATAATAAATACATGGATAAAAGTTACAGTGCAGTCTAAGATATGAATAGTTCAATTAAAAGCAGCGACAACAAGAAAAGTCTTCAGCCTGGATTTAAAAGTAGTCAGAGTTGCAGCGGACCTGCAGGTTTCTGGGAGTTTGTTCCAGATATTTGGAGCATAATAACTGAACGCTGCTTTACCATGTTTAGTTCTGACTCTGGAGACAGAAAGATGACCAGTCCCTGAAGACCTGAGAGATCTGGATGGTTCATAATTTAGCAGGAGGTCAGAAATGTATTTTGGGCCTAAACCATTCAGTGCTTTATAAACCAGCAGCAGTATTTTTGAAATCTATTCTTTGACACACAGGAAGCCAGTGTAAAGACTTCAGAACAGGAGTGATGTGATCCACTTTCTTAGTGTTAGTGAGGACTCGAGCAGCGGCGTTCTGAATCAGCTGCAGCTTCCTAATAGATGTTTTAGTGAGACCTGTGAAGACACCATTGCAGTAGTCGAGTCTACTGAAGATAAAAGCATGGACAAGTTTTTCCAAATCCTGCTGTGACATTAGTCTTCTAATCCTAGATATATTCTTTAGGTGATAGTAGGCTGATTTAGTAACTGTTTTAATGTGACTGTTGAAACTCAGCTCAGAGTCCATGACTACACCTAGATTTCTGGCTTTATCTGTTGTTTTGAACATTGCACACTGAAGCTCAGCGCTAACTTTTATACGTTCTGACTTGGCTCCAAAAACCATTACCTCAGTTTTGTCTTTGTTTAAATTGGAGAAAGTTCTGACACATCCAGTCATTGATTTGTTCAATGCACTTACTCAGTGTTTGAATTGGAGCATAGTCTCCTGGTGAAATTGTTACGTAAATTTGTGTGTCATCTGCATAACTATGGTAACTTATTTTGTTGTTTTTCATTATCTGAGCCAGTGGTAGAATGTAGACGTTAAAGAGAAGAGGCCCCAAGATGGAGCCTTGAGGAACCCCACATGTCATATTTGTCAACTCAGATGTGTATTTACCTATAGAAACAAAGTTGTTTCTGTCCTTTAAGTAGGATTCAAACCAATTTAGAACTGTTTCCGAAAGTCCCACCCAGTTTTCCAGTCGGTCTAGTAATATGCTGTGGTCAACAGTGTCAAACGCAGCACTGAGATCTAATAATACTAACACTGAAGTTCTGCCACTGTCTGTGTTTAAGTGGATGTCATTAAAGACCTTTACAAGAGCAGTCTCAGTGCTGTGGTTTGGACGAAAAGCCTGACTGGAACACAAACAGTTATTTAAATGCAAGAAATTACTCGACTGTTGAAAAACAACTTTTTCAATGATTTTACCTAGAAATGGCAGGTTTGATATGGGCCTGTAATTGTTAATTACTGAAGCATCTAGATTATTCTTTTTTAAGAGCGGTTTAATGACTGCAGTTTTCAGGGCCTGTGGAAAAATACCTGAGTGAAGAGATGTGTTTACTATATGAAGTAGATCTGAGGCCATGCAAGGCAAAACATCTTTGAAAAATCCTGTTGGAATAATAGGTAGACAAGTCAAGTGCAGTCAAATGTATTAATGAAGCTTATATAATAAACAATTACAAGAGAGATCATTGCAAACTTTACGGCATAGTACTTTGCATGTCCTAAGATTATGTATTCAACCAAGGAAAATAAAAAACAAAACAAAAAGGAAGGCAGAGAGTGCAGGTCTCTGCCATGGCCAAGCTATCTTCAAATGTTTAAGAAAGAAAACAAAGTAATTAATGAATTCACCCTGTGATTTGGATCGACTCCAAAATTTGCCGGTTCTTCCTTGATCCATTCTAAACCCTTCCTGCACGTTGCATGAAAATTAAGCCAGTAGTTATTTTGTAATCCTGCTGACAAACAGAAATACAAACAAACGGAATTAAAGACAAAAGGTAGCAAAACCCCTATAATGGAGCAACCTCAACAAGAGCAAAAGAGGGATTCTACTTCAAGGGCTGGTAAACCTACACTGATGATGTATATACACAGATTAAACAAAAACAACAGTAGTGCAATTACAGTAAACACAATATTTGGTTAATAGAGATACAAAAAGTGGTTTGTCCTTTCAAGCTTCATCATGCAGAAACGTTTGGTTACAAAAACTGCTATACAAAAAAGGGTGTTTCAGTGCAGATTTGTCCATATCTGCATTTGAAGCTTTGATATGTTGCAAAGTAAGCACAAGAGAATGAACTCAGAGTTGTGACATGGCTTACTAGTTCAAAATAAGACCCTCCCTGAATGGAGGATGTGTACATGTTAAAAGTTAATTTCATCTGAGCCCAAATGAGTTGTTTTCATATTTTGAGGGTATAGAGAATATGCAAGTGTCTGGACTATTTAAAGGAAATCTTAAGATGAAACACATAATAGTACCACCGGTTTAAATCTTTGTGGTTCTCACAAGGTAAAACTGTTATCAGCCCTGTAAGATGAACAAAGATCTATTATTTTCAGAGCTCAGGAAGTTAAATGAGCCTGTCAATGAAGACAGGTGCAACTTGACAAACTTGAATTACGTTTCTAGAAGTAAAGACAGAGTTTTAAACTACGGCACTCTATTTTTGTATTGTCTTTATATACTCCACCATACTAATAGATATTAATATGTGTTTTTTATTTAAAGATATTGCACATTTGAGTGTTAAAACAATAAATAATCACTTCTAAATTTGCTTGTTTTAACCCAATACCCAAGACCTCACTTAACTGGTTCTGTCCTGTCAGACTCACACTTTATGTTGTGTGTAATGTTTTGTGGTAAAGAAATAAAT